AGACAGAAGCAGTGTTTTAAAGATCTAACCATTAGAAAAAGTAATTTTCATGACTAAAACTTTCATGACCTATCCAAGGCTCAGTGGTCAGTTTGCAGTTCTTCTAGCATCCCACAAGAGTAAAACTGGCTCTTCTCACCGCCGCCAGTGCAGAGGGGCTGTGGCCTTGACACGCAGGGGAGAGAGCGTGGGTCACTCTTTAAGCAAGGCAGTCTGATGGGGAGCGCTGGAAAATGAACAAAGGTGGGAGTTCTTCCACAGTGGCTCAGCCTGGAGTTTACTGTGATTTTAAAATCTGTGAACACACGGTAACTGTGGGAAGCATAGGCCAGCAGTTAAAAAGGTGTAGAACTAAGGACAAGATAAGCCACTCTTGTTCTTCCGCACTTTGGGTCTCCCTCTCCTGCAACCTGTGGAATGCAGCCGTCCTGCTAGCCACTTTGCTCCCAGATGTAAAGAAAGCCTGAGAGGAAAGGCTGGGGCAAAATACCCCGTCTTCAACTTTTCCCCCATACATCAGTGTGAGAGTTCTCCCCTGCTATAATAGAGGTTGGTATTTTGGTTCTCAGCAATGGAGTGTCTCTCTGCTGTGCCTTCCCTGGGTTTTGCTGGGCCTTGTTAAATCCACTTCTCTGTTTCATATGGCTGGATGGAGAGCTGGGAACACGGGAGGACTTTTTTTTCTGGGGTCCATGGTAATGCTTGGGAATTCAGCCAAGGGCTGCTTCTCTTGCCAGCTGCGGCAGCCCCCACTGTCTGGCCAGGCAACAACCAGCCCCTCCCCGGACACAGCCCCACAGCTCCTCCACTGTCGCCTTCTGGACCAGGACTGTCCTGGTGGTGGCAACCACTCCTTCTCTGTGCCTGGTGCGGACTCCCCTTAGCCTCTGCCTCAGTCTGTTCAGGCTGCTATAACAAAAATACCACAGACACGGTGGCTTATAAACAACAGGAAATTTTTCTCACAGTTTTGAGGGCTGGAAAGTCCAAGATGAGGGTGCCAGCAGATTCCGCATCTGGCGAGATCCGCTGTCTGACCCATAGACGGCTGTCTCCCTGCGATGTCCTCCCCAGGGGGAGAGGAGAGAGAGCGCTCTGGTGCCCTTTCTTCGCAGGGGCACTAATCTCATTCCCAAGGGCTCGACCCTTGTGACCCAATCACCTCACAAAGGCCCCTACCTTCCAGTACACTGGGAGACTAGGTTTCAACGTAAAAATTTTGGGGGCAATGCAAATAGCAACCTCTCTGACTGTCGAGTTTACATGTTTCTTCATTTGCTACCTGCCCCCCCCCCCCCACACCCAGCTCCACCACCCAGTGGTGGCCGTGCGCACCTTCTGAGTTAGTGCACACATTCAGGTGTGAGTGCTTGGTGCTGAGCACACTGCCTTTGATCCAAAAAGAACCTGCTGCTTTTGAGGTTTCCCTGTTTTCCGAATGCTCTCCCTGCCTAACAAAGTTGCGCTGGGAGCTGGGGCACTGCTGGAATGAAAGCCAGCTTCGCCCCTCTTGGAGAGAGGTTTGGAAGGCGGTGTCATGGGTAAGCGGAGGCTCCCTCAGATGTCTGCTCTTTCATATAACAAGCTATCCCAGAAGGACCAGTCTAGGCAGCAACTTCTGGTCTAAACACATCTCTCTAAAAAGTCCCAAACAGACCAGGCTAGTTTCCTCTGCAATATCCATTGTCTTTCAGTAACAGAGTCCCAGTGTTATTCTAGGTGGCATGGATCCCGTGAAAAGACTGTGTTTCCATGCCTTTCTTGTAGAAGATGAAAGCAGGTGTTGTTGGATGATACTTCTGTGAAAGCTCTCTTTGCCATTCCACCCTACCTGCCTTCTGTGGTTTGGGGTGTGGATGTATGTGATGGCTGGGGCTGCAACAGCCATGTTGAGGCCATGAAGAAAAGACTAGAGGAATCCCAAAGACTCAGCCCTGATTTTCTTGATTCTCATTAACTACTTGAGCCACTGAACCAAGGCCGCTACTTCCCGTGTGTGCATTTCTCGTGACAAACACACAAATAAAACCTCCACGTTTAAGCCACTGTAGTCAGTTCTCTGTGACTAGTAACCAAAAGCAAGTCCTGATACACCAAATTAGAAAGCAGGTATTAGAAAGAAGTCCAATGATTACTCAAAGGCCTTAGTTACAGGGAGCTAAGCTCTTATAAAGCCCCAGTTCTCAGAAATTCTTTTTTGCTGACAAGCCCCAGAGTCATTCTTTTCTGAGTGAAGAGAGATCCTTTCTGGTGTTCCCAAATTTAACTTCTTCAGTGCAAGTGGAACACGAAAGCTACTGGGCTCCCTCCCGAGAAGCAGTTTTAGGAAAGCAAGTCATCACTCCCTTTGATGCGCGGTCACCTGCAAAGGCATTGCTGATACCAGGCCCACGAGCCACGTAGTCAAGTGCTCCAACATCTGGCGGTGGAGCTGCTACTTGCTTTTTTAAGCACAAAACCAAGCCTTCAAATGTTCCCAATTTAGCCTCATAAGCATTATGTTGGGCGCGTCTACCTTACCCGACAGCTGCCAGCAATTCAAAGCTCTCTGTTGTACAGACATTTTCAGTTTTTTAAGACTGTGCGCTCTCTTCATTCCCAACTGTGGTGAAGTCACGTTGGAGGAATTTTTGCAGAGGCAGCCACCACAGTGTCTCATCAGGGCTAGGTGTCCAAAAGGCTTCTCTGGGGCTGGGGTGATGGAGAGGGTCCTAAGAAGAGGGCAGAAAAAACTACCCATTAAGCTGAAAGCCTCATGTCCTCTTAACCCCTTTTAAGGAGCCTACACTTCTCTGCAGCCAGGCCCTTGTTCAAGCAGCCAGTGCAGTGGGAGAGGGGCCGTGGAGGTGGTGGTGGCACGAACAGCAGCCCCCACTTTCTTTCTCCTTCCTACCAGGAGGGGTAAGAAGCTGGGTGGGTGGGAGGCAGAGCTCTGGAGCAGACAACTATCCTCCATGGTCAACCGTTCCATTTGGGGGATCCTTTTATCCCCTGTTGACATTGCCCAGGACCTGAGGGCACTTTGACCTTTTACCTTCCTGTTTTCTCTTACGCTCCAGGTGAGTGCCACCTTCCACCAGGGGTGTGTGGAACCAGAGACTCTCAACCCTAGAAGGGGCTTCAGAGATTGCCTCGTGCCACTTTCTGTTTCAGCCTATGGGCAAACTGAAGTCTGTGGCAGAGGGGTGACCTGCCTCAGGTTGAATCACGAGCTAGTGGCCTCACTTTAGGTGCTGACCCTCGGCCAGCACGCTTGGCACAGTAATCGATGATAACTATTATATAGTGATTACTATGTGTAAGGCATCAATGTATGGTATGTGTGTATAATCTTTCCCATGTTATGCATGAGGATTAGGAGGCACAGAGAGGTTAAGTAACCTGCCTAAAGTCACAGCTAGTAAATGGCAGAGCCAGGATTTGAACTCAGACAGTCTGGCTCTGTTCTTGACTGCTACACAATACTGGCATACTAACACCTGTCCTTGACTGTTTACTTCAGGTCCAGCTGAGGAATCTCTAATAAATTCCTTGGCCAGAGGATTACTGGCTTACCATCTTATCCCTGGAAGAACACTTTCCCAAACCTGGTAGCAACAGGTGTTAAATAGACTAATCAAAACAAAAATAAATTCCACAGTCAAATAAATTTGCGATGTTGTATTAAACCAAGTTAAACAGTTTTTCTTTTTGTTTTTTTACTATAGAATTTCTCAGATCCTTTAATATGTATGTTAATAGGCATTGTAAATTCTCTAAGAATCTAAAAGCATTTGCTAAGTGTTTTAGACCACAGAATCTTTTTTGATGTAGTCATGTTACCTGGGTGAAAAAGGCAAATTGTGCCTTGTTACTACAAAAACAGTTTCGACCTCAAGGATCACCTAAAATGGGCTCAAAGCCCTTGCTCCCACCCCAAGGGTTCCCTGGAACATACTTTGAGAACTGTTGTCCTAGAAAATAATATTTTAAAACTAAGACTTGACACACATTCTCTTGGGGCTAAATATCATCTTGCCCCTTGCAAAGGACACAGGAGAAAAAGCGCACAAAAGACTATGGATATGTGTTCTAAGAATCAGTCCTTCATTCTACTAATTCCTTATTTTCCTTTTTTCTCTTCCTATCTTTGTTCTTTTCATTTAAAAATCCCTTGTTGCTCCATAAAGGATTTAAGGCAGCTTATTCTTCCAGTAAGTCAACATTCTTGTTGAAAGATACATATTTAAAGTATAATTAAGGTGTTACTATTTAAGCGGGCCTCCTGACCTCCATCCTATGCCCCAAATTTTCCTCTACTAGTATTGTATAGGCCAATCTAAAATTTCTCATTAGCATTTTGTTTATTTGGTAAGGCCATGCCTTTCTAGAAAGAGGGCCCGAGTTTACATACAGTTTCAATACAGTCAGAGATGTGAACACACTGGGCTCAGCACGTGTGTGAGTCGCCCAGACCAGGGAGCCTGTCCAGGCAGAGAGCCCTGAGGGACGAGAACTCGGGGTGGGGAGGACTGCAGGCGGTACCTGCCTGGGACCCTACCAGGTGAGGTGCCCTGGTACAGAGTAGCCACTTTTCCCTTTTAGGGAGATGTCCAAAGATGCATTTTATTCATTTAACAATTTATTCTAGGGCCTGCCCTTGAACTGAAGTCATTGTGTGTTTATTCTAGACCACAGGACTTTGAACCTGACCTCAAACCTTTGGTCAAAGCTAATGTGGCACTCAGGGTACTGCTGTGGAATTTGACAACCCAGACCAGGTGGGCAAAATGAAATCTGCTTCAGGCCAGGTGGCCCTAGTACCCCCTTTGTTACGGTGGCCAGCAGCAGTGGAATGTGCCCTTGGCTCATAAGCAGGTCAATCTCATGAGGATGCTCCAGTCCACACAGTCTGGGCCAGATGGAGAATCACAGACTGGAGGGGACATGAAGGGTTTTGTCCCTCTAAGAACACCTTCACCTCTGTTCACACTTTGTCTTCTCCATCCTCTTGATTTTAGGGCTCTGGCTGCTGTAAGCGGGCAAGTGGAAGGGCATGCCTGTCAGGCGATGCTACCAAAGAGTCACCAAACTCTTAACTTGCCATTGTCGCGCCCCGCATGCTGGATTTCAGCTCTAATTGTATACAGGGTGAGTCTCTAGCTCTTTGCCTGGATTGGTCTTGTATGGTTGTGTGGCGCCCCCACCCCGCCCTGCCATCAAGGCAAACCCATCCAACTAAGTGTTATTAACACAAAACACATTTATTAGGAGTTTTTCACATACATTAGTCATACATACTCCTTTTAGAAAATACAGATGAGAAAATAGAAAATGGAAAAGTCATCCATAACCCAACCCCCCAGAGATAATTACAGACTGCTTTGGATATAAATCCTCTTCCTTCCTTCCTTTCTCTAGCTCTTGCTTCACACACAGCTACATAACCAAGCGGAAGGTCCCGGACGGGATTCATGTGGCCAGAGTATTGACACATCTCCCTATCCCTGCGCCCACCCCACGCTGATGTGCAGCAATTGTTTGCACAGGGGAAGCGGTCACATTTAGTGTTTGGGTCCTCAGGCCCGGAGGGTAAATGGAGCAGACAGCAGGGAGTCTGGTCCCCTTTCTGCCTCAGGAGCGGGTCTGAGCCCCGGGAGAGAGGAACCGCTCCACAGTGAGGGTAGGAGTCAGTGTGGCTCCCCCACAGTGAGGATGCAAAGAACCGCCGCTCTGCCCCGGCAAGTGGTGGAGGAAGGTATTCGTTCTCAATAATGTAATGAAGTGGCTGTTTTCTCTCTTGACACACAATGGTCACGGAGTGGGGTCCTCGGGCTAAGTTACCACCCTCTTGCCCCAGTGTCTCCCACTCCAATTCATGGCTCCTCCAGCCCTCACCATCGATGCTGCTCTGGTATTCTTTTTAGATTTCCTAACTCAAAGTCTATATTTAGTCTCTCTGCGCTAGAACACTCGCAGTAGTTAAATATGAAATCTAAGGCATTGTCAACTAGCAGCCTCCTATTCCATTTAAAACGTGTGGGGAGACATGAGCATTCATGGGCTGTGATGAATCACCTCAGGTTTCTCAGCATCTCACCATCACACTTAATTCTTCAAATTAGGCAGGGAAAGAGCCAGGGAAAGCTGGGCGCCTTTGAGGCCAACACCAGCCAGCCAGCGCAATGCTCCTCTCTGCTGGCTCAGCCTCTTCCCCGGCAGCCCCTGCTGCTTTATCTGTTTATTTTGCAATTAGCGCCAGAAGGAGACTCATGGGGAAATTTTTGCTTGGGGGACAGAATTTATATTTCAGAATGTCTCCCCCTCCTTGGAGCACTGGATTCTGTAAGGAAAGTCTGAAAACAATAGCTCTCAATAAGCCTTCAACAATACTCTTGATGATAATCCTGTGTAATTTCACCATCCACAAACATGGTGCTTTGCACATGCAGCCGTCCAGTCCCTCGACTTCCTCCTCTCCCATGATCTTGTCCTTTATGGCATCTTGGGCATTTATACCCACGGCCATGCTCTTGACTTTGCTCATGATTACCAACAATCGTGCTCTCTCCATAATCTCAATTTCAAATATCCCAGTCTTCTGTCACAATTCCTTTTCCCAGTTCAGTGCTCTATTCTTTCCAATGATTCCTCAGCCTCACTGAGATCTACAGTCAACTGATCTACCACCCGTTCACTGTTCCTCACCCACCCCACCCTCACGTCCTCACTGCCCTCCTTACCCACTTAGATCCTGTGGCCCCTTGCTGTCATCCTGCCAGTTAGGACATTGCTCCCTGTGACCCCTCTCTCCCTCCATTGCACCTGCCTGGCAAAACCTCAACCTTGCTGCACCTATGCCCTGTTCACTCTGTCTGCACCTGCACAGCTGGGTGTGGCTGCCTGGTCTTACTTTAAGTTCATTATCACAGCTGCCAGGTGGGCCTACCACTCTTATTTCACTTTCCTACCCCACTTACTTTCCCACTCTCCAAGACAATAATTTCTTATTTCCTCCTCCCTCCTCAAACTGTCAACCTCCCCCCGCCCTCACTCTCAGCCGATGACCTTGCTTCCTGAGTCCCTGAGATACTAGAACAACCAGCTGACAAGTTCCGTGTCTCCACCACCATACCCACCGCCCGCCCTCATCCATGAACATCCATCCTGCCTTCCCTCAGTGCAGGACGAATTTCCCAGGCTTCCATGAGCGGTACTCAAAGTGTGGTCCTCAGCTCTGACTGGCAGCAACAGTATCACATGGAAGATGATCACAAACACAAATCCTGCAGCCCCACTCCAGACCTGCTGAATGGGGATCTCAGGGAGGGCCTGGGAGCCTGTGTTTCAACTGGTTTTCCGAGTGATTCTTATGCACCACACCGTGAAGTTAGGATGCTCTGAGCTGGATCTTCTTGTCCTTCCCTGACCTAAGGACACCTCTCCAGTGGCCGTCCCCTCACTCTTCTGCATCATCACATGTCCCCCCACTGCTGGATTATGTTTTCATTGTCATACAAACAAACTGGAGACAAAACAAAAAAAATTCCTTGACTCCAAATCTCACCTTAGCTACCATCTTTTCCTCCTCCCCTTTTTTTCTTAGACCCCTCAATCAGTCTTTTGCTTCCTCTGTCACCCAAAACTGATCTTCCTGAGGTCGCCATGGCGGAAATTGGCCAGGTGGTACCAGACGTTCCTCTTCTGGGCACACAACTTAATGACGCTTCTCAATTTCTTTACCTACAAAGGAGGCTGTGTGACTAGTTCTTGCCATAGGAATGTGAAGGGGGTCATGTGCCACCTCCAGGCTTGGGCATTTGAGGAAGGGTGTGTGGGTGTGCTTCAGGGCGACCATCCCTTCCCTGTCCAAGGTGCCCCAGGAGGCCACACACTGAAGATGGAAAGAGGGCGAGGACCTCAAGTGCCACGGGGAAGTCTGTCTACCAAACACTCGATTAGACTGTGACGTGAGCGAGAAATAAGCTTTTTATTGTGGTAGGTCAGTGATTTGGGGGTTGTTACAGAACTAAATCTACCTCACTTACACTACCAGTGACCTCCCCATTTCTAAACCCAGGAGTAAATTCTCAGTTGTTACTACCTGGGACCAGACAGCAGTGCTTGGCAAGGTTGATTGATGACTCCTTCCTGAGACATTTTCTTCACACATTCTTTTCTTTTTTAACATCAAATTTGTAATTCTGAGAAAAGCAAATGAAAAAAAAATATAAAAGCAGAATCAAATCATAGCGTACTACTCAGCTAAGCAATACAGAGTTAAAATTATATGACAACTACCATTGTTTCATGCTAGCCTATAGTAGAAAACACTGCGAATGCTGTAGGAGGAGGACAAAGCAAAGCTGGAAATAGCTGTGCTACAGATGAGAAAGATGAAGCACAGGTTAGAGCCAATCTTGCAGCCCAGGGAGCGTGTTCTTCTTCTTCATACATTCTTTAGGCCCCTTTTATTTATCTTTTTAAATTCTTAAACTTGGTGTAATGTACTTTGCCCATTCTCCTTTGTGTTAGCTCTGTCCAGGGCTCAGTCCTTGCGTCCCTTCTTATTAACACTCACTCCTCTGGTAACATCACCCTTGCTCTTGGCTTTAAATACCTCTGTACGATGATGATTCCCAAGATTACATCTCTAGCCGGGACCCAAGACTTGCTTGTCCATCTGTCTACTAGACGCCTCCACTCGGCATTTAACAGTCACCTCAAACTTAACATTGCCAAACCACACTCCTGACGCCTTTAATTCTGCTTCACCTGTAATCTTTCCCATCTCAGAAAACTATTAATCTATCCCATCCTTCCAATTGCTTAAGTCAAAACCATGGACTCATATTGACTCTGTATTTTATTTCCCACATTCCATTACAATCATACTCAGAGGTCTTGCCTCACAGAAATCCAGATCCTCATCTTACCCTTTCATGGCTACTGCCGTGGTCCGAGCCACACTGCCGTCTCCCGCTTAGACTGTTGCCTTGTCCTCCCAACAGTCGTCCTGCTCACATTCTTTCCTGCCTACATTTTGTGCTCAGTAAACGGCCAGATCTTTACACGTGGAAATCAGATTATCTTGCTCTCGCCAACCCTCCCTTCATTTTTCCAGGCCCCCAGTTCCTGCCAACACACAGTATTTCCCTACATCACTCAGGATTGAAACCAAACTCTTTAAAATGGCTCTCGGGCCCCACATGAGCTGGCTCCCTAGCACCTCTCTGACTTTGTCTCTTCCGACTCTCTCCTGGGCTTGCACCTTTCCTGCAACACTGCCTTCTTCGCTGTTTCAGGTGTGCTCTTGCCCGGAACACCGTTGCCCAGACAGAAGTAGCTCCCCCTCTTAAATATTTCCTTCAGAGCTCTGGTCAAATTCATTTAAAACAGTGTGGCCTTGCCTGATAGAAACCCAGGCTCGCCTGCACCTCCACTCCCTCTGCCTCTCAGCACTTATCACCACCTGGCACACTATATATTTACTTACTTTTTTGCGTATTGTTTGCCTAATCCTGCCAGAACGTAAGGAGGGCAGGGACTTTGTCATGTTTGTTCTGTGTCTGCGGACCAGAGAACAATGTTGGGCACACAGTAAGTGCTCAGTCAAACATTGCTAGAATGACATGTATGAGTAATGGGTTGTAGAACTGTGCACCTGAAACCTGTATGTTTTGTTAACCAGTGTCACCCCAATAAATTCAATAAAAACCAAAACAAAACCAAAACATCTGTAGAATAAAGGAAAGAATGGCTACCTAAATGGGCCACCTGAACTTCCTTGGCCCTGGTTAAGAAACAGGTCTCACCAGCCGAGTTTGCATGCACACTTCATTTCTGGTGAATCCCAAAGAATTTTGTCTCAAGGATTTTGTCTCCAGAGCCTCTCACGTACCCTGTTTTGGGCTGTGTGAGGACACTTGTCCACCCTCTCACAGAGCTGGCCTTGCAGACACTGGGCAATGTTGCACCTGAGTTTCCAGCACAGGTTCTTGCCTGTGAGGCCCCAGGGCTCTGTTCTACGCTGTGGAGAAAACTGACCCCCCACTGGCTCTCCTGCCAGGAACACCCTGAAGTATGACCAGGATAGCAACAGGCGGCATTGGGTTCTACTTTTGAAAAAGTGCAGGCAAGAAATTAAGAAA